ATTTCAAATTCCTTAATAATTCCGTATACATCAATTTTCTAAAAAATTATAAAAAAATAAATCATTATAAAATATACAGAATTATAATACAGAATCATTAGTTACATATACAAACCTTATAAAAAATATATTATTTCCTTATTTTGATTTTTATAGGGAAATGATGCTTTAAAATTGTATGTTTTATATGTTACTGTGTAGTATTTGACCATTAAATCAAGCATTGACTTAGATATATCACATCAAATTTAGGATTTAACATTTTTTCAAAAAATGATGCGCATCCAGTAATAATCGATTTCTGTATATTTTTTAAATTAGACTAAAATTGCTTCATTTATCAAATGAATATTCGTCATCTTCTAATAATGAACTAACAACAGTTTGATTCTCAAGCAAATCTAAACCTTTGTTCAAATATTTATTGAACTACTGATTTCTCTAATATGATTATCGTTTATTAATCTGCACATTATTTCTAGCTTAATTTGTCTATAATTACTCAATAATGAACTTAAATAATATTAATATATTTTGCTATTTATTAGCACATTTCGTTATATAAATCGGCAAAAGAAAATGAAGTTTACATTTTCTGTAGTAATATTTATATTGAAAATGATGATAAAGGTGGTAAAAACGATGGTAAATGGTAAAAATGATAAAATTGATGATGTAAATGATGCTTATAACTGTGTTTAAATAATATTAAAAATAAGCCCATATTTTCAAACATCTCTAAAATTCAGTATATAAAATTGCAGTTGCTTTATAAGCTGTATACAAGAATATTTAATGAATTTTTATTAACTCTAATTTCGAATTAATAACTTTGTTGAAAATAAGTGATCTTGTCATACTTCCAAGTCTAAGAGCAAAACAAGCAAAAAAAGTAAAGGCACAAGATAAATGCAAAGTGAAAAGCTAAATATAGGAAATTTAAAAAAAAGTAATATTTACTATTTGTGATTAAATTTCATATAATTATGCATATCATTGCTGCATATCTCGATTTCTATTTTTTGATTGGTTGAAATAAGTAATTATCTGATTGGGTTGAAATTCTTTTTCTTTTCAAAACCAAACCTTAATAAACTTATATTTAGACTAAAAAAATATATATAGGTGTATTTTTGCACTTTCTGCAAGTTTACTTAGAACAGCGGGTTGGGTTTTTGCAGTATAATTTGACTTAAACGCTTTTTTGAAAAAATACGCCACATACTTTAAGCCATATAATCGGTGTAACCAATCACGCATCAACTCAATTTTTGAGCGGCTTAGAATTATGCACACCTCTAATGTGTGACAGGTTACTTTCTAAAATATAATGGTTTATTAATTTTTTTTTTAAAAATAAAATAAAAAAATTTAATTTACGCTAACTTAATACAAAAATAAATATTTGAAAAAGTACATAAAAACTACAAATACGTATAATTAGATAAATTCTAAAATTTAAATTACAAAATAAAAAATTGATGCATTGCAAATCAATAACCTTATAGTGTACCATAATTGAAAATCAGCATAAATCAGTTAAGCTACATCTGAAATTCCATATAATATTAAAAAAAAGTTTCTTTTTATTTAATGCTTGTATCTAGTACATCCAGTATAAGATGAAAAAAAATATATTCAAGCAGGACCACGAACAATTCTAATATAGGTAAGACACGTTCCATGTATTGTTCGGGTCCCGCTTAAGCTGAAAAATGTGAATAATTTTGAATTTTTAAAAATAAATACAGAATAAAGCAAGATAATTAATTGCAATAATCTTTTTTCTTTTATGAATTGGTTTATCTTTTCTTTGGCGTCATCTGATTGTCCGGTAGAACTTCAATATTGATTTGGCGATTAATTTTTTTTCGAGTGGAAATATTTTTCAAATGATTTACAACATCATCTTCAGTGCGTTGTAATATTTCCATCGTTCGGACAACTTGCATCTGCAAGATAATATATGATTGAATAAACCTAAAAATAAATTAAATTAAAACACAATAAATAAATAAACACTATCTACCTTACTTGTCCACACTACTGTAATTAATTCTATCGCTTGGAATGCGATAGTCAGACGGGTTATATCCTAGTGATGGGTACACATTTTATTTTAGACAAGGTTTTGGACATATGAATTGTATCCAAAATCTGCCCAAAATTGTCCAACATCGATATAACCGGCTGGAAGATCTAGCTAGCATCATAACCATAAAGACCAATCCTGTAAAGTACATGGAATTTAGAAAATTTTCCGACAGTAGAAAAAAGGTAATAATGATATCATACCACGTGAATGTTTTCCATCTCTTCCATTTTCCTTATGTCCCAACTTGCGTTTTCACACAAGATAATGAACATATCTCGCATCATTTTCGGAAGCTTAAGACTTGATTCATTAAGCCATTTGGTTCCATTTCGTCCCTCAATTTCTACTTGCTTCTGAACCTCCGAATTCAAGTCTTATTCCTCTAGAAGTCTTTCGGAAGATTGCATCTCCTCTTCTTCCCATTTCTTTTCGAGAATCTATTGTACGGCCACGATTTTTTCGGTCCGAACTTGCTAGGCTTGACGATTCACCTCTGGTTTAAAAGTTTTGATTAGTTAACTATGATAATAAAATTTATCAATTTCACTTTTACTATTACTTACCTAACAACATTGAAATTTATAATATCATCATATGGGGTGAGTGCTGGGAAAAAGGACCAAATCGACAAAAATTTTTTTTTTGAAATAACAAATGATCTGAATCAGATG